CCGCTACTTTGAACATCTCTTAAACGGACGAAACTTCACGGTATGTAGTGACCACCGTACTACGACTCACGCAGCTAAGTCCATCGCCGACAGACAGTTTCTTCAAGAGCCTCGATATGAAGATTACATCACACAGTACACGTACGAGGTGCGACTTATCTGTGGTGTCAACAACTCTGTCGCGGACGCCCACTTGCGTATCCATTACTTGGGTAACCAACACCCGGAAGCAATAGACTTACGGGACATGTGTTTTACGCGAATCAGTGACACACAGCGACTGCGCATCTAGTTAACATTCCGCCTCGACCAAATGTATTCTTCAGACAAAAAAGTATTCTGCGACGTTTCCATAGTTCAACGTGGACCGATGGTCCCGTTACCCTTACGCAACAGGTATTTTTTGAGATACTTCCTAACCTGTCGCATCCAGTTATCCGAGTGTCAGTGAATCTCATCACTAATCTTTTCTTCTGGTGCAAAATCAAAAGCCAGATCTGTCAATGGGCGTGACACTGTTTGTCCTTCCCACGCACCAAAGTTCACCAACAAACTAAGAACTCGTCGGAATTGTTTTCAGTTGCTGACGTACGTTTCCACCACTTCGGAACAGATCTAGTGGGGTATCTGACAGCATCAAAAGGGTATATCTATATCCTCAACTATATGAATCATTTCATTCGGTGATCGGACGCTGTATTGTTGTCATCAGCATCCAGCAGAGTAGAGGGATAACCTGTCGTAGGAGTTTAGGTAGCAAACTTTGGTTAATCTATAATTATCGCAATCGACTGAGATTCCCATTTCGAGAGTGTTTTCACACAGTTACAAATCAGGTAAACATCCACTGCATCCAGAAGACCGCTTACCACTGCACAGCTGGTTAGACGGTCAAACGTTTTCATCGACAAATGGAAAGCGCTCCAATGGCACAAAACAACCCTAGTTGGAAGGAGTCAATACCATTGGTCCTTCAAGGTTACGGATCAGCTTTCAATGCTGATCTCTAGTCACAGAGTGCGGTGTATGGAATTCTCTTCCATCCCATAAAATGTGAGCTCCTACAGTTGAACTATTTAAGTCACAACTTGATAAAACATTGGAACACTTAACATTTCAACGTCTGTGCATATTATGCACATCATGCATATTATTATAATTATTATTTTATTTTTGTAAAGTTATTCAAAATATTCTGTAAAAGTCCTGTGGGGTATGATAAGTCTTAGCTTTGTTAAATTGCCCATAATAAAACGTTGACTTTGACTTTGTGTATTGAGGTTCATTTCCGTTGAATCATGTTCCATTTCTGCCGGAAAATCTTCATGCTTGATGGTTAGTGTACCCACACTGATCACGACTCGCTCGCTCAGTGCGCTTGCCAGCAGCGATCCAGTGATCAAATTGTCCACTGTGATATATTTTTTTTGGGTGTCATGTTAGCACAGCGATACTTCCTGTGACAACGGGCATCCGTTTTTAACCTTAAGTAAATCTCATTCTATCAAACGGATCGAATTCGTTCTGTTTCGATCAGTTTCATTGTTTATTGAACAATGAATATCCATATGCAAAGGGCTGTTGGGGTGGGTCACAGAGAAAGCATAGCTGGTTGTGGTTGTCAGGCCATTGATCAGACAGCAGACTAGCCACCAATGTTTGCCCCAATGAACCGCAACCCGAGCCTCTGAACAATTTTTTAAAATTGCTTTTTGGCAGATTTGAAGTCTTTATGTCGATTGTGAAAAGATCAGTAGCCTCGGCAGGATTCAAACCCACGCATGTACACCGCCCACGCCTTTGTACAGCGCACGCTCTACCAGCTAAGCTACGCGGTATCACAGATAGCAACGATCTTTTATTCGAATAAGTCCTTGATTTACGTACTGAAGAGTGCATCGTTTGGAATACACCACAAGCTCTCATCTCGTCTCTGGTAACGTGGTTACGTTTGGTGATCGAGCAATGTCCGAGAAACTATGACCAGATTTACCTCAGCTGTAGCGGACAGAAAGACATTTCCTCATCATTGCTGTTTGAAGTTGGATTCAGCTAAGTTATCTCGGCTTCAGTGATCAAGTGAATCGACGTCCGTTTACGAGCGCTACAAGTTGCAGGACTGAGATCTACCTCATTTCGACACAGACAAAAAGTGGCAGTCATTGAGAGATTAGCAAAATGTGATCAATTCACCAACGAGATGCACTGAACAAATGCGGATATAATCACAGTATTTCGTTCTGAAATTACACGTGTATTTTTCAATTTGACATGCTAGTTTCCCAGTTTAATGTTCCTCATATCTAAATGCTGCAGATGCTGTGTAGACAATGATATGAATGCGTTCAGATTTGCGCCTGGGCCAAGTTCCTCTCGACAGAGGAGGTGAATGTTCTTCTGTGATTAACAACAAGATCATTTGACTAGAAAAAACCTGATCCGCAAGACAGCGGGGTGGTGTACGAAAAAAAAACAATCTATTGGGAACCAGTGTCCAGTTCATCGGGTCATATACCCTTTCGACGCTGTCGAACGTCCAAGGTACCCAATTTACCTCAATTTCCAATCATGCCACAGTCAAAACCAGGAAGGTGTGTGATGTGGTATCAGGGATTTTAGCCAATTCACTCAGGTAAACTATCTATTGTTCACCAACCAGATTATGGATCCGGATATGAGCTTCCTACGTAGGTAGAAAAGCCCCGCATAAAGGCACTGAGTATATATTCCTCAACAGAGTTAATTTGAGACACTTGGNCCAGCCGCAAACCGAGACACTCATTTCCGAACCTATTGAGGCTTGCGGAGGTCAGACAATGTCAAGTGACAAATAGGTAACTGAGCTAATGTGTGAATAGGAGCGTGTGTTGGATGATAGACTAATACAACGTGGCACCTAAAAAGCATGTGCCACAAATGTGCCAACCAACGTTCACTGGAACGATCGTAGTGTATTGGCTTAACTTGCTGCACACATGTGGAACTCAGCCAAATCAACTAAGTCCCCAGTAAAAGCAATTATATAGCTGAATAATCTCACTACATATATATATATATATCGCGCACAGACACCAGTCACTGATGAAATACTGACTGAAGAATTCCACACACTTGTGTGATGAACAGCAGACAGGACAAATCCCGTAGTCACAAAGACCCGCGTTCAGTGATGAAAGTCGGGAACCTTAGCCCCGGAACTTGGAGTGGCGAATCACATAAGCCCCGCTGGGTTAGGCATAATATTGAACCGGCTGACAGTANCAGTAAAGCTGCCTACCACCATGGTGGGGTGGAGGTAGTGGGGCTCGAACCTCGTATCATGAGGTCCAAAGCACGCCGGTGAGGGCGACTAAACCACTACGCCACCACCAACCGCGAAATCTATAAGTATGTTTGTCTTATAACTTCATTATACGGATAAACATCACGCAGATATTTCAGGAAAATAAATTTCAATAAGCATATAGTCTTCGAAAAGTAAAAGAGCCCAAAATTTCTCTTGATTGGATAATACGGGTAAGAAGAACATCTTGTTTAGTTTCGTGTACAATAGGCATGTAGGTCACTCGCCAACACTGGAAGACTGGCACGATGGGCGTATTGTCTTCAGGAATTTACGTTTACCCTTGAACATGTTGACGGTAAAGATAACGGGATTCCTGACTTCCTGTCGCGTCCGATCCACGAGGAAGGTGTCCGATCGGAGGCCATCCCAATTTCCCGGATGGTTTCGAGCGATGTGGAAATTAATAAATATCACAAAGAAGACGACCTGGTGCGAACCATCTGTGAACATCTGCGGTCAAAATCGAAGCCGGAAGAAACGTCACCAGAAATCAGAGAATTTTTGAAGATCTGCGGTCGCCTGCATTTAAACAATGCGACCTTGGTGGTTGAAGTGGACATGGAACACGGATTGAGACTTGGGCGACGGCCATTTATCCCAGTGGGTCTTTGCGAAAGGGTGTTGAAGCTTGCACACGATGGACCACACATGGGACGGCAACGAGTTCTCGATTCATTACGACGCCGCGTGTTCTGGCCAATGATGCGCTGGGATGTAATTGAATACATCTGTTCTTGCCCCGAGTGCCAACATAATAAATACACGCCACCATCGACACCGCCAATGCAACCAATAGACACACAGAGAGTACTTTAAACCTGGGGACTGGATGTGTCTGGGTCTTTACGTATTAGTCGAAGCAGAACACGTACATTGTCGTGATGGTCGAACTCGTATCTCGTTGGGTGGAAGCGGTACCAACCCCAGATCAAATAGGAGAAACGGTTGCTCGGATATTTATAGACAACGTGGTTGCACGATTCGGTATCCCGGAAAATGTCATTACCTACCAGGGACCGTGTTTCGAATCCAAGATTTTTCGGGAGACCTTAGAGCGCTGGGGCATCAAACGAACAAGAACGTCCCCCTATCATCCGCAGGCCAACGGAATGACTGAACGNGATTGGGAAGCAAGCCTACCGGAAATACTTTTCAACAACAGAACAGCATCTCATTGGACAACGGAGATACCCCACTTCAAAATCACATACGGTAGAGAACCCGGTAGAGAACCTCTTGATGCGTTTCTCGGAAGATCTGGCGAAAAGCTTTCCACGAAGGAGCGAGACAAGCTAGAGAGAGAAGCGGTTGAGAAAACCAGGCAAACCAGGAGCGCAACAAGGCAAGGTACGACAAAGAACTCCGATCGCAAAGTGGCAGCCGTTCGTACCGGGACAGCTGGTAACAGTTAAGAACCAAGGCAGACCCGAAACAACAGGACCGGGGGCCGGAAAGTTCAAGCATAGGTGGATGGGGCCATTTATTTTTCTGGAGAGGAAGTACGCCAGTTTTCGGATCAATCAGGGTCCTCAAGGAAGATGGGTAAATGGTAAAGAATTGGATCGGTGCTACACCCGCAGCAATCATTTTAGAAGAGGGCCGAGTGTGATGGAAGGCGGTACAAAGAGGGTCCTGGTTAGCGACCGAATCAAGAATGGGGCTCATCCGACCAGACGCGCAGACACAGCTGCGGGAAGTCCCTCACGAGGCAATGTTGACTGCCACCCGAAACGAGTGGATCGACAATTACAGTCCTACAGACAATCCGCAGCTAACGGGAAAGATATCCTCCGAATGCCACAACGTCGGAGCTGTCGATCAACGCATCTCGCGTCGCGATCGGGTCAAACCAGTCGCAATGGCACAGGGAAGAAGAGACAACGTACGTGCCAAGTGCGGACCAAAACCAACAAGGAATGACCCACATAAAGAGGCATGAATCATCCCGCCGCGGGGTTGAGAATTGATTGTATATATTGGAACGCATACATCGTTTGCTTTTGAACTGGATCAATAGACGTTTTTTCCAACCAGCTCGCCTTCTCGTTGCATGTATTATCAAACATTCAGCAACAGACCAAAAGTCAATTTAGTTTTACACCAGGGAATTCTGGATAGAAGTAACTCATTATCCCAAGGGGTACTTTAACCGAACTCCAGTAGTATTTGTGTCATGCTTGATCGTTCTTTGGTAGTATTTTAACACATCTGAATAAAGTTTTGGTATAAACCCATCGTACAGATTATAATAGATACTCACTAAATGAATTGGCCTGGCTCAAAATTCTGGGAATTCGGAGAGTTTCACTGTAAGAGTGATACTATTTGAATAAATTAATTCATGGCATTAAGAGATGGAAGCAATAGGCATGAATGGAGGACTATCGAGTTGAAAGGAATAGTTAACCGATTAGGAGCATCTGTATTACCTCTCGAAACTAAACCAAATGTCGCTCACCCGTGTCGGTCGCCGCATGTGATCGATTGCGCGATGAATGACTACTCGGCAGCGTGTTGATATGAGTGCACATGGTAACTGCACTCGGAGTGTGTATGGTATTTCAAGTTGCATCATCTTTACTCTGTAAACAATGGACTTCGTTCCACATGGACTTCATTCGGTGCTGACGTTGGTAAACCATTGTAATGTTCATGGATGTACAATCGAGAAATTTGGAATCTGGTGTGATCAAATCAGTGATGGATTAGTTATCTGGAAGCCTATGATAAACTTTGTTACCTACTCAATCATAACCGCGTACTGGAAGATTTATTTCGCGATATAAGCGTAAAGAGAGAGCACAACAAGGTTAGGTCGAGGCAAATATCGTTCACTCTCAACTGGCACAATACGGCAGAAAACTACAGTTCATATCGCTTAAGAGTATATCAGGTTACACAAGAATACGATAAAGCCTAATCATCGCACTTTTCATCACTACCGAGGCAGTCGTAGTGCGACTGACAGTTCTTCCTGCCCACTCAGGCTGGGTTTCTATTTGTCAAATGCAAATTGACTACGCAAACCTTAGCAACCCGTGTTTGGTTTTGGCATAAATGGTCCTAAATCGGCTTGTCGGGTCCGGACCATGATGTCGAGTGACAGATGATGCAGGCTATTTTATGTTTTAGGTGTCCCTGGGTAAGTTAGGTGGTTGTCAATGGTGTAATGTTATTTTGTACTTCCTTTCTTTATTTATTGAATATACAAATGTACAGTTAACTTTCAGGAAGTGGGTCGCGGCCATACATGTTCATGGTCCGGACCCGACAAATCGGTTTCCGATTGTTCCCGATTGCTAGAACCACATACATACAGTTGATATGTAGCTGAGTCACATAAACAAATAAATGAAAATCTGCCTAGTATTCTTCTACCTTATCATGCGTAAGGTGCAAACAAATGCAGCTCGGATTTTATAGCCATACCTCGGCAGGACGTAACACAAATAAATTCGTAATAAATTCACAGTTACTTGTGATTAGCATTATAGGTTAACTGATTTATGTAAACTGATGTCCATGTCCACTTCACCCGCAAGCACACTCAGTAGTTCATCCATGCAGGTGGGAAACAGTTTGCATGTCAAAGGTTCGGAATTGGTTTTCCAGGCGGTTTAGGGGAAAGTTTGAAGCAGTTTCAGTCAAAATGATAACCATAATATTAATCTAGTGACAGATAGATAGTAAGATAGTAAACAAGCATTTTCGAAGAGGAAATGGAAAAGATTGATTGATTTGAAATGACTATCCTTCGGACTTCACCTAAACGCATAATCCTCAGTTCGTCTATGCAACCATACATTCGCAAACACTAGACTCAAGTTTCGCTCTTATTAAAGCTCATCAGTAGTTCATATCCCCGTCCCGTACGGGTCTGAACTCTGGATCCATCACATGGAAGGCTTGCACGAAGGATAGTCAGTTAAATTCAATCAATATCAATTATCCCATACACCTATTCAGAAGTAACTGTGTTAAATGCGGAAACGATTGAGTTCAAACAGGGGATCGGAAATGAGCGTAAAGTATCACTTGTCCATATCCCCTGTGCCTAATTTGTAGATTGTTATTTGAATTCTCCCTCACCTTGTTTGTTCTGATTAAATGGATTTCGTACAAGTTCACATTCAGAGGCAAATGTGCACATCTTTGGCGTATGGATCGGATTTTNGTCTCCGTTAAGTGATTCCGGCTCTCTCACACACACACACACACACACAACATCGAAGTTAGCTGTACCTGGTTTACTTCCCGCACAACAAATTCGTCCCCACTAATAGAGTGACAGACATCCTCTTAAGTGGAAAATTCGCTCTTCGTACTGTAGCTTTTGATTCCATTAGTTGTTCCGTGAATTTCGCTTTGTAATAAGTGTATTGGTTTTTTTTAACCATAACTCACTCATCTCTCTCTCTCTCTATGATAATGACAGTTGAGACTCTAGTCCACTCATTGATTGTCAGTTAGGTTGTTTGTAGTTTGCAAAAGTATGTATTGTCCGAGATGAACGTGTTCAAATAACATAAAATGTATTCGTGTATCTAACATGTGTCCTTGTGCTCGGAAGTGATTGACAAAAACCACATCGATTGTTCAAACGAAAACTTACTGCCTTAGAGAGCGAAAGAAAGCGCATGCCATAAGTATCTGTACTGGATGATTTTTTGTTTTGTTTACAATGAAACCCAAACGATTCATAGGCAATTTATAGTTCCTTTAAGTGAGCAATTCACAAACTGAATCACCGCCACGTGGTCTGCGGTTTGCGTTCCTCAGAAAAAAGATTACCTCAATAGAATCGTGAGTGAACTTTGGATTATTTTTTAAACAATTTAACTGTCAATCCCATAAATTGATAAGTTGACTAGAGGAAAAAGAACTTGGTGGCCCTTAACAATAATCCAGAATAACTGCCCCCAAACAGCAGTTTATTTCGACGGACACAACACTTTGAGCCCCTGAAAAGCCTTAAATCAAATAAGGAGTTTGTGATACTTCCCTCCGATAAACGTCATGGTGCCGTTGAGTTTGAGGATGTCACCAAATAGGAGGAGAAAGGAATTCATTACACACTGACGAATCGGAGCTGGGAAAAGTGGCAGGATCTACATAAACTTTTAAAAGGATAAATAACGATGAACAAATAAATGTCACAGGACGGAAAATTTATTACCGAAGCTACCTCCAGGAATATCAAATCACCCGGTACACCTCTTCGACCGACGTTATCAGTTCAACACATCCTAGTCATGTGGCCGGCTAAAAATACTGAAAGCAAAGAGGAGTCATCACGAAAATTGCTCACTGAACGATCGTTTCAATCTTGCGACGATTTGTGAAGAAATAATCACAAACATCTGACCAATATTATCGTTGAACTGCGTTGTTTTGTTCTCCAATGTGCTTGTTGTAAACGTTGTACAACCCATCTCTGACTCGGTTTTAGTTTTTGCAAACATTACCCACGCACGTTCGTGCGCCGGTTTTGATTGCTGTCTGTTGGCCGCCCACCTGGCTAAAAGAGTAGAATGAAGAGTGAAATGTTGAGAGCAGAGTCAAAGGGAACGTAGCGAATTCTTATAGACTGCGGTTGCAAGAATATTTAGTGGGTGTGTTTTAACGTTGGGATGGACGATACGACCGGATTAACAGATACACGTCCCGAAGCGATACGTGCGGCGGCAACGATCACAAACAGAACTATACGACCCAGCGATCGAGTGAACGATACACGAATACGTCCGACTGTGGTACC